GTCACTCTCGTAGTGGGATTGAACAGCCGTATATACATTTTCGTGGATGGTAGACTGGTGGACATCAAATGTCCCAGTGGGGTTCCTCAACGAGATTCCGCGCCAGTGTACCCAATCGTGGAACTGTCAGGTCAAGCGCATGTGGTAAGATGATGCTCATAGGCGGGCAGCCCCCGTGACGCTGTTACAGGTGAAGCTCATCCCAGACGCGGAACTACCCCGAGCCATTGCTCTCGTTGTGGCCCAGCATTCGGAGGAGCCCGTGTCCGATGAAGACAACCCTTATGAATCGGAGTCTTCCTATTCCACCTCGTCTTCTGGCACACATTCAAGGAGTGATTCCAGGGAATCATCTCGGAGCGCCACATCCTCGAACCCATCAAGATCATCAGAGAGTGAAAGTCAAATGTCGCGAAGTTCTTCATCCGTAAGCAACAGTCAATCCGAATCGCCTTCATCAGAGGGAAGCTCCGAGTCTTCATCTCCAGGGTTTTTTGAAAAACTTCTATCCTAGTGTTCTAGCATGTCACATTGGCTTTGTCCTCGTGCCACTAGGGTTTTGTGGTGTTGCGAGTGCGAATTAACCGATAGCTTCTGACTAGCGTAAACTACTCCCGACTACTGCTGCGCGCACTGAGAATTCGGCACATGATCAAGTGAATTGGTGCTAGTCACCTCATGGTCTCCGACAGTGTCGGGGACCATGAGGGGAGTCATCCAGCTCTCAGAAATAACGTTCCTAAGATTCCGCCGAGACTAGGAAAAATGTTCCTAATGAGCGATTATAATGGGGGAAATCCCGAAAATTGGCCGAAAATATGTTCCTTACCGTTTTGAAAGTCCAAAATTCGTTCCCTCCGGGAACATTTCAAGTTCCTCGATGTCGGCCCGACACCGACGGTGTCGGGCCGACACGCCTATCAAAGACAGCCTATGTGGGCGATAACAGTTCGGTGGAACTTTCGCAGCATTGGTGATATTGAACGCCGACGGAAGCTCGTCGAAAAATGACTTTTCAAATACCGGTCACGGACTCAAGTCGATGAAAAACTCATTGAAACAATTGGAATTACTCTTCAACCGATAATACAATAAGGACAAATAGGGTCCCATAATAGACTGTAGTGATGTTTCCCTCGAACACCTCCACAACTCCAACACAACAGCTTGCGATCGTCACAACATTCTCATACAAGTTGGATTGGTAAAGACGTGGAGGTCGCATGCCATCGCCTGAAAGGATCCATGAAACTCCTTTAAGGCATCCAGTGTAAGCCGCTGAACAACACACCTAGCTTTCCAAGTGCTCAGCCCAGCTGCATCACGCTGTGCCCGAGCGACAGTCTCGGGGTTCAGATGTCCTTTGGTATGGCGACCAAAATATGAAAGGCACGAGCTGGAGCGCGCCAGACTTCGTGGCTGAAATGGAGTAATGAGCAAGTCGACCTGTACTCAGAGACATACAGTCTTTAATGGCTTTAATGGCTGTAGGGTGTTCTTCCAGAGACTGCGCTGCTGCTGTGCTTTGGGCGGTACAGGACCACAGACAGGACCAGGAGCTCGCGGCTTGGTCGGAGGCAGTAAGAACCAATGCCCTGGAGATTTGGAGGTCATGACCCTGGTGCTCACAACGCTTACCTTTTGACACACCGATCGGATTGACTGTCTCCTTGACACCTTCGAAGAGGCTAAACAATGGACCAAATGAACCGAGCGAAGCATTGCATACCGCCTGTATGCTTCTAATAACAACAGGCTTACCCAGACTGCGTCCAACGGAGGCCTCTGAGGGACCTCGGCAGCCACTCGCCTTGATTATTCCCTTTGCACGGCACGTCGGACGAATACCATCTGGTGCTTCCCGAATAAGCCGCCTCTCGTGACAGGAATACCATTGAAAGATAACTTGGAATAACTATGCTGAAGCGTCTTCTGTCTTATCGTCCAGTAACGTAACACGACTCTCCAGACACTCCTAAACAAAGAGTATTTCAACAACCTTAGTTCTACAACTGGTGTCAATCTCAAGTGGCTTCGACACCACCAAAGAGAAGCATGTTCCATTAACAGGGTAACGCAGTTCATAGTGTTGGTCATGAACCTAAATAGGTAGTGGGCAGAAACTGGGCTTCTCTGATGCCAAAAACTCATTGGTGATACCCCTTCGAGGCTGGCTAAGCCTATAGAGACCCTCGGAGTGTACAGGGCCATCTCCCAAGAAAAGGGCGAGATAGTAGTTTCCAAAGGCCATGGAAGAAAAGACCCGACCATATAGGCATGTCGTACCACTGCGGTATACCACGTAAACATCCTCGACCACTACTATCTTACCTTCACCTCGTAGACAACTCCAACGACCGTCCCACTAAATCCCATTACGAACTCTCACCAGTGCAACACAACTAGTTATTCCAATCTCTACAATGACCATCTCCGGCAGTAGACGTCACACTCGCAGTATCCTACTCCTGTCCCTAATGGCAATATCGTCCACTTTTTCCATCAACAGCGATAATACCCTGTCACTACAAAGTCGACCAGCGCTGGGCACCCCCCATTCCCTAGAGTTCCAATGCCTGTATCACGACTAAGCACGATAGTCCTCTTGACTAGCCCAGACAGTGGGAATCTGTCACGAGGGACGTGACCGATTCACAGCCTATCATGACAACACAAAGACAGCTGAATCTCATTGAAACGCTCTTGACACAGACGACACAATTAGGAGTGCACTGCTGAAGTTTACAGCCTATTGGTGTTTAGCGCTTGCACTGACATATTGTGCTACACTGTCGATGGAACTGTTAGCCGGCAGAGCCACCATTGGGAAACCCATGGCACGAGAGATCTCCATCAGGAACGCATTCAGACCTCTCTCGCCAACATCATTATCATCTAGGGTTGTAACAATAGCACCCTTAACGCCTTTCAAAGCGGGTATTTTTAAACATACGTCGTGGACAACTGATGCCACATCGCAACCACTAGCCGCATATAGTACTCTAAAACCACCAGCAGGGACCACCACTGCTCCCTGGGATTGCAACACATTCTGTAGAGTATCAGAAGAAGGCTGCCCGACTAGTGAGATGACCATGCCAGACAGGGG